TCAAAGGAAGGTACCTCCAAATGGCAGTTGCAGGGGAGGGGTTATTAGGAGACAGGTATCTATTTTCTCATGTGCTCCCAGAGGCATCTGGTGGGGCCAGAGAGATACAGGAAGCTGGACTAGATGAGAACTTTGCCTGATCCAGCAGGACTCTTCTTATGTTCTTAAGCTAAGTTTAAAATTTTTGATTCTTCCTTTTCTCTTTTTCACAGAAACGGTTCCGAAATGCTTTTTACTCTTTTGTGTCAGAATTGGTTTTGCCAACTTTGCCTGAAAAATCTCGGAGTGGGTGGGTGGACATTCATCGGCTAAATGACCATTCTCATCACAATTCTAGCAGGAATGTGGTCGGCTCTGAGGAGTGGCTTTCCTATTGTCCTTTCCATTCACTAGGTAATTTGAGTCATTTTGGTCTGAATATCTCAGGAAAGTTCCTTTGTTTGATGTATTCCTGTCTAATTCAATTCAGAGCATCTTCCAAGTTTGATTCCTGTTTACTATCCAGAGCAGGTATAAAAGCATCAAATTTTTCATCCAGTATTCCTGCAAGGATGCCTTTTGTTTATCATCTAAGTTAAATTCAGTCAGACTTATCAATATAGTTAACAAAGCATTTATGTATGCTTCACAGTCCTTCTTAGAATAATGTCTCCATCTCAGGAATCCCCTGATCCAGACAGCTTGTGATTTAAAAGTGATAAAATAAGAGGATTTCTCTAGGGCATTTAACATGTCTTTAGCAGATTCACTTTCATTTACATAATTTGCTGGTCTGATGAGCTTTCACCGATCACTGCTTCTGCTATGGAATCAATCTTTTTCCATATTATCCTAGAGCTTGCTTCTGCTTCTCTTTCTCCTGGTTCATTATTTTCAATACAGTAATGGACTTGCAGGACCCTATCTGTAGTCCTAATCTTCAGTCTAATCTTCCACTGAGAAAAAATAGCAGAAAGTTCAGTCTAATCTTCCACTGAGAAAAAATAGCAGAAAGAAGCCTTGAAAGTTCTATTAAAGTTTCAGTATAACTTCTATTTTGATCAAAATTCATCTTTATATTTATGAGTGAGTTTGGTTACTGATATCAGAAAAAAAGGAGTTCAGAAAAAAGAATTTATTTTATTTATTTATTCCATTTATACCCCGCCTATCTGGTCATTGCGACCTCTCTAAGCGGCTCTAGAACAAAAACAACTCTAGAACAAAAACAACTCTCTTCAGCTAGCGTGTGATTCAGTTGGGGATGGTGGGAGAGAGGGAAAAATCACAGCACTTAGAAAACAGTAACACCTGAAAAATACTGGTCAGCTATCTCTCTAAGACAAGCTACTTTTGATTGTTCTTTTAGTTAGCAGAGTATGAGGTAGAAAAGAAGTCACAGAAATGTGGGGAGATCAGCTCAGTCTCAACACTAGTGCTCTACATAGTAAAACACTCTAGAGGCATTTAAAGTAGTAAAATGCATCTTTACGTACAGTTACCATTTAGTTAAAGTCAGAAAGGAAAAGAGAGGGAAAGGGAGTCTCTATCCCATGGATAAACCCTCTACACTTGCTGCTTGGAGAAAGGCCAGAGAAAGAGTGATATCAACAACAAAAGCAAAACAAGCAAGCAGGCAAACAGGAAGAGGGTGCATGGGTTTGCCTCAAATGCCAAAAGAATTTTATCAATCAAGTTAGTGGCAGAAGACAATCACATTAGGTTGTAAAGCTCCCTGCCTCAGATACCAAGTATTAGTGCATGCAGGATTGCTATAATCCCAGCAGGGAAATGGGATGTAGACTTTTAGCAATATGGTAAAGGCTTTGCTGGTTTGTTGCCATGGTCAGGAACTCAGGGAAGGAGGGCACAATTCAGAGTAAGAGCAACACGTTTCTTTTGAAAGGACTCAACTATGTTGAGTACATTATGAAGCCCCTACCTGATGGTGACAAAGTTTGCATACATTACGGGCCACCTAGATACATTTGTAGACAGTGCAAGGTAAGAGTTACCACTAATATTGTAATTTGATGAAATGTGGTTATATGTCTCTGAAACCAACATTTTGGCTTCTGTGGAGGATGTTGAACTCAAAGAACCTCATGATAACATTCATAGAAATACCACCTGTTCCACAGACAGGCACATGCGATAAACAAACTTGAGAGCTCTCAAAGTATAAGACACTGACATCATACACATCTAAATGCTGCACAGTGATTTGGGAGAAGATGATACTGTACAAATGGAACACATTCAATTTATACAGAAATGGAACCAGACTGTGGGTACTTAATATAGAAAAGGTGACAAAGCAGCTTTTAAATTATCTCCTGGAAAGATCTAAGACAGTTTCTAGGAGGAGCACCTCTCTAATGAGACAACTAATCCCTAGGAATTAAGGCATAAATGTTCCCAGTCATTCAACCAGGGAACATGCAGCAGGACATGACTGCCAGAGAAGCCAAAGTGCATTAAAAGAACACATTGGCATATTTTACATACTAACACCAGAAGACCCTCTGCCAAGAAAAGGAAGTTGGAATACATAGTGTCAAGCAAGAACACTGATGTCTCTTTGGATAAATGCTCAGTGGTCCCCAACCTTTTTGACACCAAGGCCAGTTTAGTTGAAGACCATTCTCCCGCAGGCTGTCATGAGCAGTTCGTCCCCTCTTCTGCAAGGAGTGCGCATCTCAGCCGAGAAGAAGGTGGCGAGTCAGCCCTCGGGGAGCCTTGCTGAAGGGCGGACCGGCAGCCCACCTGCTCAGCCGCCCACCCAGCTGCTAACTCTCCCATGGGCACACACTCCATGGCCGACTGCCACCGCCGTCTCCCCTTGGCACAGGCAGGAATGTCCGAGGACCTGACTGGACCAGGTGAGCCTTCCTTGGCCCCCTCTGTGTCCCTTCACTTTTTTCAGCAGCGGGGGCTTCCCTCCCTCCCAGGACAACTCCAGTCCACTACTGTCTCCCTCTGGTGACCAGAGCTCCCCTGTCCCTTCTGTCCAAGTTGCACCAGCAGGCAGGGAAGACCCAGAGGATGGAGGAGGCAGCTTACTTCAGCGGTTATCTTCGTTGCTCAGAAGCTGCTGGCGCCAAAGACCACTTAGTGAAGGGAAGCATTGCGCTCCCCACCGCCTCTGGCTTGTGTGCTCTAAATTTCCTACTTGCCGCTCATCTGTCCTGGTGGCCCGGTCCTTCCAAGGCCACGGATCAGACCCGGTCCAGGGCCCAGGGGTTAGGGATCCCTGCTCTATAGAAGTACATCCAGATGATTTCGCAACAGTGTACTGTATTTTTTCTGGACTTCAAGAAATTAGAATATAAAAAAGCAGCTAATTCTCTACTGAACCGCTTGGGTGGACAGAGTATACCTCTGGAGATCTGGGTTCATTCCTTGCTTGGCCATAGAAACTCACTGAGGAATAGCAAGAGTAAAACCACTGTTTAGAGCTGTTGTAAGTCAGAAGTGAATTGATGGCATTTAGCACAATGTTAACTAATCCTGTTTTGCACTTTCTCCTTTAGCCCTCTCCTGCAGCAATTTTGAGTCATTGCTGCTTTCCATTAGTAATACAGTCATCATCTGCATATCTGAAACTACTGACAGTTCCTCCACTTTATTCACTCCATCCAGTTTTTCATGTTCTACATATATATTTCAAAGATAGGGAGATAAATACACTGTTCTCTGAGCAACTTACCTATAGCAAACTATTGTGTTTCTCCATTATTCTGTCCTAACAGCATTCTTTTGCCCAGAGCACAGGATGATCAAATGTTGTGGCATAGCCATTTCTTTTAGAGCAATCCATAGCTCCTCTGGTCCAGTCAAAGGTTTGGCTGTGATTTATAAAGCACTACTGTTTTTCTTTTGCAATTCTTTGGTATGCTCCATTACTTGACCACACATTTGCAGTATGATCTCCAATGCTTCTTGTCTTGGTCTATCAACAGTAAAAATGTTTCCTGCAAAATCTTAAGCATCACTTTGCTTGCATGGGGAATTAATCACTGGTTCTATACTTACTATAATCTTTGGCATCATTTTCCTTTGGAAAGTGACATTTCTAGTTTGCAGCCCATTGTTTTGTTTTTACATACTTGTTGGCATATTTTTGTTGGGGTTTTGATAGATACCGTTTCTTTCCACTAATTAAAATTATACAAACACAGCAGAACATAGCCTAGAGATGTTTTTGAAATTATACAATACTACTAAGTTTATCTGTGTATTGTCTTTCAAAAAGAAATAAATAGCAAGAACACAAATGTATCCCTTTAATATTTAAAAGTAGTTATTTCTCATAGTGAACTATATGTCTGTTTAAGTATGATCAAGCTAAAATCACTGAAGACACAGAGAACCTAATTTTGCTTTAGAGTTATTAGTATCAGTCAGCAGAAGATAGTGTGTAGCCAAGAAGCAGCAGCACAGTAAACAAGAGTAGTCTTTGCAGGCAATTAAGTAAATCCTTAGAGCTTTCTAACTGGTAAATATTTTTCTTGCCCATGAGAGTAAGCCAATCCTGTCATGAATATGTATTTCACAGTACAGTACATTAGCAAGAATCTGAAGACAGGACCTTACCAGAAATATCCAGGTATTTATACCAGAGGGATCCAACAATCAGAAACAATTTTTCTTAGGCCTGAATTCAGTCCATATGTATGATGTCTAAATGCTGTGCTTAAAAAAACATACCAAGGCCTGACTTTGTTTACAGCAGGAAAAAGAGCAATGGACCATTTCCATGTGATCAGAGATAAAATGTTCACAATTGGCTATCCGTCCACCGCTGCCCTCAACTCTTCTCTTTTAAAAACAATCACAGCTAGATAATTAAAAACAGGGTTTACAAATGAAGCTAACAAGAGACCCTTGACTGCAGCTATAATGCCACTGACAGCTAAAAACAGATCCACACACTCCCTTTATCAGATTACTAATTAGTTGCTGTGGAGTAGGCTTTAAAAATGCTACATAATTACAAATCACCACCACATTGTTTCAAGAACCTTTATACATCTTTTAATTAGATTAGCTTTACAAGCAACTTGAGAGCTCTTTCAGTAATGAACACTGCTTTTCAAAAGTTACATGACTTCATAGGAAATCTGAAAACGTATCCTGAATTTCTTTGCCTGCTAGATAAAAGTCTTGTGTTTTACAGCTGGCTAATGTCATGAAATAAAAATAGCATTATGAAGCTTTATCTTTAACCAAGATGAAACACATATACAGGCTGTAAGACAGTTTAAAAATAGTCTGAAACAGGTTCCTGCTTGGTGATGCCCAAGGCTGAAGATTTAACTGATACAAACAGTTTCTAAATGGACATTATAAGATCCAGTTTGATGACCTTTTGTAAATAACAAACTGAGAGATTTAAGTACATTTTATAACTCCCCAGCAAGCACTGCTATCTTGAATCAAGGGACAAATAAAAATGTAAAGGCTTATGTTGTGAATTTCTAGTACATTAAACGTAATACAAAAGCAGTTAAAAGTTAGAAATGATGTTACTTAGGCCTAAAACAGTGCATTGCACTGCAGACCAAATATTAAAGATTTACACTCCTTGGTCAGGCTTGCAGAGGCACTTACAGTAGACATGTTTTCTTCTGATTTATCAGGATGAAGAGAAAAATAAAACTATTAGTCATTTGGAGGGGATGGGGGGACCAAAAATTCATGAAGACTCTCATTGTAAGTTTCCCTAATTATGCTTTCACAAAACTCAATTTCCCCCCTCCTGTCAGTTGTCACTAAACACAATGCTTGTTCATGTTTTACATGAATAGTAAGCTTTTTTTAAAAATAAAAATTACTGAGCTTTCCATAGAAAAGGTCTCTAATAAGAGTACAAACTATACAGATGCTAAAATTGTCCAAGTACACTCACATTGTTCTGATTGAATGAGGGGATCAAGGAATAAACAATTTAACGTGTAAGTGAGGAGGCTTGTATTTATAAGGCTGGTAGAATGTGAAAGCTTCTCTTCAGGGGATTCCTTCTGACCATACATGCTCCCATCCAAATAAAAAATTCCTAATACCTGGTGAAAGAACTTTTCTCTCTACTGCTTCCTCACCTTAAAGAAAGTATTTTCCCCCTTTGTTAAACATAACTTTGTATTATCAGAGGCCAATGTTAAACTTCTGCAACAATATAAAAATCTCTACATTATTAAGGCTGTAGCAATGCACTTCAGTCTTAATGCGTTTAGTGCACCCCTGACACTATGTAGGAGAACTGAGGGATTAAACTGCAAATGAAAAGGAACACTATTGCTTTAAGAGAAAACATTATCTCTGGTTTTCAGTTGTACTACCTTTCACACATAGTAGCAAAAAGCTTTTAAAATGAGTCACAAAAGATCTCCCATCAAGGTAGCAGAAGGGGTGTTTGTCAATACATCTAAAAGCCTAGAAAAGCCCTTATAGGGATCTAATGGCATGACAGGGGCAGAGTCTACCTAGCAGTTCATCTGCACAGGCCCTGTTCAAAGAATCGGAACCGTGTTAAGTTCCGATTCTTGAATGCTCTTGAATGTGCTCTTGAATGATTTTTATTTCTATCTAACGGCTTTTACAGATGAAGCTCCCAGTAAACTGTACCCAGTTTTCAGTTCCAAGGACAGTACGGGTAGTGTCAAATTCACGTGGTGCAAACCAGTCACTCAGAAAACCCAAATGCAACAGAGAATGCTTGCCCTCTGTATTCAACATATAAAACCACAATTTAACAAAATTGACAGCAAAATAGGCATCTGTTTCAGTTTTTTTAAAAAATTCAGAGAACATAACACAGCAGCAATCTTTTTTAAAAAGTTCAAATTAGTGTAAGATATGAAAATAAAAACAATCAGGGTTCAGATGGTAATTAAAGTGCTCCTTTTTGGACTTTATGTGAAAAGACAAAGTGAAAATCAGTTACTGGCAATTCTTGTTTAAATTAGATTTTACAGAGTAGGATAACAGAAGAGCAGACTGACAAAAATAGGTAATGGTATTTTGGAAAAAGTGTTTTTCTTAATTTTGAACAGTTGAACCTGGTTATACAAAAAGCTGAACATCAAACATTTACCACTTTTTCTGAAAAAAGAGGAAATGAAAGCATTGAGTCAGAGGACTGAATGGCAAAATATGGATAAAAACTTCTATGTAGGGCACTTCATGTGTAAGCTGTTTCTTCTCAGTGCTTATCTTCACATAAGCAGTCACAGGACTGGAGTCACAATCATGTAATATGATGCTTCAGCAGTTAGAGATTCACTTGATGTAATACTGAAATTCATCATTTATTTATTCCAAATGTCAATTTGGCGTTGATTTTCCTTTATCCTATTATTCACATTCAAAAATTAACAGACAGCGCCAAACACAGTTTGGGTGGACAGAATGGAGAAGAGCCGGAGAGCTGATAGATCAAGGCTTTATAGAAGGTCTTTCCCATTTGAATCAGAAGGTTTATTAAGTTCAACCCTCACACCCTTTTCACCTACAAAGAAGTGAGAAGCTATTAAACATAAGAACATTATACATAGAAATATTACACACAGAGAGAATAGATATACATTTTAATTTAGACTGAACACATTTATCTTTGATCAGTTAATGAACTAATACCTCAAAATCTTATTTTTAGTACAAAGATATTATACATCGGAAAATGAATGCAGCAATTATAAAAAGCCCTACAATGAACAGCATATGGCATTTCTGTAGGAATGTGCTACCCCAGCTACTCATGTCACTGAACTTTAGCAGCAGAACATCCTGTAGTCCTCATTTTTACCCTTCCTTTCGGAAGGAAAAGTATTGCTCTATCCTCTATGGAGTGAGAAGGAATTCTGACATCCTTTTCGATTAAAAGACTACCAGACTTCACTGGAAACTGCAAGAGTTGGTGGGAAGCTCCAAATTATGCACAGCTACGTACATTTTTGTGTGTTTTGTAGTCAGTGCAGCCAACTATCACCAGGAAGCTCTCCATCACTGAAGGTGATCACAGAATCATAGAATAATTGAGTTGGAAGGAACCTGTAAGGTCATGAAATCTAATCCCCTGCTCAATGCAGGAATCCAAGTCAAAGCAGATCTGACAAATGGATGTCCAATTTTTACTTCAATGCCCCGTGTTGGGAGTGCTCACCATCTCTCAGGGTAATTGGTTCCATTGTTGTACTGATTTAACAGTTAAGACATTTTTCCTGTGCTGTTAATTCTAGGAATGGGTATAGTGGAAGTATGTGCTTGACTGAATCCATTCTGTTGGTTCTCCAGCACAATAACACTATTCTAACACTACTGCCAGTGCTTGGCAATTATGGCCTTCCAGATATTGCCAGACGGCCACCCCTAGCAGCCCTAGCCAATGATAAGGGATCATGGTTCAATAAAATCTAGAGGGACACAGTTGCCCACCCTGCTCTAGTCTCTGAAATGTCATCTCTTTACAAATGTACCACAAACTGTATCCAACACAGCAGATGATCCTGATACTAGTTGGATTTGAAGTGAGGGAAAGGGTGGAAGTATATAATTGACAGAATTTTACTACCATGTTTGCATGACACAAATCACCTTCTAGTGTATTTTCTGTGTGCCTACCAAGTTGTCCTGCATGAGGCTAGTGCAATGATGAACAACATGTAAGAAGAACAAGGTGCACAAGGAGTATGGACCTTTTCAAAAACAAGCTGGAGCACTTTTCCAGAAGCTTCATGGAAACTCTTATAGGCTTTGGAACAAGGCACACACCTCCTGTGTACCTTGTTCTTAAAGAAAAATGTAGTTTCAATGACACTGTAGTACCAAAATTTGACAGCAAATTCAGCAGCATGGGGTGAACAGGGTGGCCCTGACAGCATCAATGTGATGTCCTTGAAGTTGCCTTGGACTGGTCCATTTTTAAGTAGTTGTATCTTTTTATTTTTTTCAGTACTGATAAGACTGTTAATGCCAAGGAAACCACTAAATTTCAAAATACTTTGTAATCAAATCATTTGTTCTCAATCTTAATTTTAAATTATAATTAATAATAGTATTTCAGTACATTGCTACATGTTTGACTGTACAGTATTGGGTGCAAGTAATAAGGGATTCCAGAAAAAGGCTTAGCTTTGGGGGTTGGGGGAGGAAGAACACAAAAAGAAACTGTGGATGTACCTATTTCACTGTTAAAGGTATAGGTTTTATGTTGGATCATTTGCTACATAGAGGTGTAACACAGCACCTTTATGTAGTGTTAGTTATTTTCTCAGTTGTATTTAACAAAACAAAACATTCTTTTGAAAAGAAAAGAAACAAGCATACCTGTTGAATATTTTACTTTAGCGCGGGCTCGTTCATCTGCATCAAAATACCACACTGTTATTGCGTACCTTTAAAAAAGAATGAAAAAGATGAAGTGGTAACATTAAAAACAAATAAAAACTACATTAAAAACAAATAAAATATTTGAACAATCCCTGAAATTCCTTCTTCAAGTGGTATTTGACAAAGCATTATGCCATGAGCAATTCTTGGTTTGTACAATTTGCTGGCTTCTCCAGTGCGGTGCTTGTAGGCATCATAGCTTCTGCAGAGATCTCTCATGGCACCTGAACGATGCTGTCCCTTCCAAGACATTTACTTCCCTCCCTCTTAATTTTTAGAAACATTTAAACCAGGAATATAGATTTCAAAGCAAAGCACTAGCAAGGTGCTGACAAATTTGAACCTGCCCTGAATGCTTTGGGACCGTAAGAGACAATGTTTGGGAGAGGAGGATGGCAAACAGATCCAATTTCACAAAGATTAAAGCACGCTTAGCAGAAATGTTCACAGGAAAAGGAACCACCATCAACAAAGTAGGCTTCTAGAGGGAGTGTTGTATGAAGTAAGTGGAGGGGCAGAAGAGGTCAGGAGAGAGATGGCACAGGAAACATAAGAAAGGGATAGATGTAAGAGAGAACAAGGCGCCAGGGAAAGAGAAACTAAGGGTGCACATGCACATCTACACACAAAAGCTGGACCTATAAAACAAATCCTCCTAAGTTTTCAAATATGTTTATATGAGATCAGCACCACCCCTGAAAAGCCACTATCAAACAATAGAGTGTGACTATCTCCACAGATTGTAAAAATTAGATTTTTAGTATCTGTTCATACTCTGTAGACACCAGAGTCAGATTGTTAACTGGGGCTGGTCACAGGGATCACTTAACCCCCTTGTTACAGCACCTGGTTGCCGATCCATTTCAGCCACAATTCAACGTGCTGGTTTTAGCCTATAAAACCCCCTTAAACAGCTTGGGCCCAAGCTATCTGAAGGACCTAATCTCACTTTATGAGCCTGGTCAGGTAATCTGGGGAAGTCTTTCTCCAGTGTGTTTGGTGGGGACATGGAAGAGGACCTTCTCTAATGCAGCTCCCTGGTTCTGGAATTTCCTCTCACTAGAGGCCAGGCTGGTCTCATTTTTGCTGTCCTTCCACAAGCAAAGACTTTTCTCTTCAGGCAGGCTTTCCTTTACTGTCTGTCTGAGAGACGTTTTTAAATGGATTGTTGCACTTTCTTGCTTTGGATATATTTTCAGTGTTGATTTTGTTTACTGCTTTAATGTGGTATTTGTTCAGTTCCTTTAAAGTATCTGTATACTTACTGTTTTTAGCTTTTAAATATTGTCATTCAATGATGTAAGTCACCTTGGGTCCTTTTTAAGGAGAAAGGCGGGGTAAAAATATTTTAAATAAATAGATACAACCCACCCACCCCACCCCTAACAACTGGAAAAGCAAAAAAGTACATGTTCTGCTATGAGCACCCAGGGAAGTCATGAATCCCTTTGTTACTTTCCAGGGAGAAATCCATCTATTTTTCAAAGCTGAACAATAAGAAAGTTCACAGGTTTCCAATTTCCAACCATTTACTTTGCAAATCTACAAAATCTGAATGGAAATATCTCACCTTGTAGCAAATGCAGGCTGTACTTCATGAGGGTTCCGGCGATCCGACCAGAAAAATAGCAGTCTATCAAATTTAGGTTCAATGTCAGCAAACTGAGCTTTGCCTTCTGGAAATATTCGAAGGATTCCTCCACTTACCTTAAAAAATAACATAATAGTGCTTTGTGTTCGTAGCAGCAGTAACAACAGACAGCTTCCCTGAAACCCAAGAACATCTAGAACAGCTAAAGATCAAACAAGAAGCCAAACATAAGCCATCTATGAAGTTCACATACTGGCTCCACAAGTATGCACCTTATCAATTCCCTAATTTAAGACACTTTAAACTACTATGTTTTAATGCACGTTTACATATGAAATATGTAATATTCACAGTATCAATTCCTTCAGTATCACAAACCTGTGTTTTAAGACATGGAGAGAAAGTGAAAGATAAGGGTGTGACAGACTGCCATTGTTCATAAAAACCACTGATGCCTATCCTTTTTTTCTCACACATGTGGGAACAAATTATACAGCCACAAGGAGCTATAAAGCTCAGACTCTGAACCACTAGGAAGGAAACCCGAGGATTTTGAGGTCCAGATAGTCTTCTTGTACATCCTACTAGTATTCAGAAGAGGAATAAAAAGGGGAAAAAATATTCTGTGTGAACAACTGGCTATGAAGATGATGCTGACATAAGGGTATTGGATTTTAGGACAATGGGCTACGATTCCTGGAAGACTGTCTGCTGACAAGTGAGAGGTTGCACATCGCACAGACTGGGAAGAATGTGTTTATCCGCAGGAAGAACTTCATCGGGCAGGCTTTAAATTGAATTGAAAGGGGAGACACAAACTCAGAGGTAAAGACAGATGCAGGCTTATTCACAATAAAAGGAACAGAACAAATAGCTCTAATGGGGCCTAATAATAGTCTTCTTGTACAAATTAAAGCAGGCCACAATCATACAGTCTCCTGTGCCTATATACAAATGCTAGGAGTACAGGAAATGAAAAAGAAAAATTAGAAATCCTAGTTCAGGAGCATAAATATGACTTGATAGGGATAAATGAAACTTGATGACTGGGCTGGGTCTCCTCCCCTATGAGGAAAGGCTACAGTGTTTGGGGGCTCTTTAGCCTAGAGAAAAGGTGCCTCAGGGGGACATGATTGAGACGTATAAAATTATGCAGGGGATGGATAAAGTGGATAGAAAGAAGCTCTTTTCCTTCTTACACAATACTGGAACCGGGGGACATACACTCAAATTGAGTGTTGGGAGAGTGAGAACAGACAAAAGAAAATATTTCTTTACCCAGCATGTTGTTAGTTTGCGGAAATCCTTTCCACAAATGTGGTGATGGCATCTGGCCTAAATGCCTTTAAAAAGGGATTGGACAGATTCCTGAAGGAGTCTATTGCAGATTACAAGCCATGATGGGGATGTATAATCTCCAGTCTTCAAAGGAAGGTACTTCCAAATGCCATATGTGTGTGTGGGGGGTATCTGGTATCTATTTTTCTCATGTGCTCCCAGAGGCATCTGGTGGGGCCATTATGAGATACAGGAAGCTGGACTAGACGGGCCCTTCGCCTGATCCAGCAGGGCTCTTCTTCTTAAATATCTGAAGGATTGTCATACAGAAGATGGGCAGGATCTGTTCTCAATCATCCCATATAATAATGGGCTCAAGTTACAAGAAACCACATTTCAGTTGAATATCAAGGATAATTTCCTAACTGTTAAAGCAATACTATAATGGAGCCAATTACCTCAGGAGGTGCTGGGTCCTCCAATGCTGAAGAGATTGAAGATAAAATTAGAGAACTATTTGTCAGACATACTTTGAATTGGATTCCTGCACTAAGCAGGGGTTTGGACACTACGTCCTTATAGGTTCATTCCAGCTCCAATACTCTTAAGAGTCTATGAGCCAAAATGCTGGATCATGGTGATTATAAGGTTTCTGCTCTGTACAGGAAAGGAAGTGATTGATCAAAACATCCGTACTAATATTGTTGACAAATAACTAATACCACCTGAATATTAGTCCACCATTGTCCACCAAACTGACAGAAGTTCTAGTTTTTATAATATACTTTTTAATCTTTATATTTGTTTGAGAGGCAACTAGCATATCCATATTTCAATGGAAAACTGCCAACCAACAGTTTCTCTATTTTTCTCAGTGCCCCCCCCCTCCAATCTTTAAAGAGAAAAACCAGGGTACAATGAAGAACTGTTACACTAATAGACACAAATTAAGTACTGGTGTTTTTTCAACAAAAGCATGCTGATCAGTGAATGATGTATACAGTCTATTCTGACTACAATAGTAGAAGGCAATATGGCTGAACTCTCACAATCTTAGTTTTGCTGAGGAATTTTCCCATATGTATATCTCAGGGACTTAACAGATTTCATACTACCAATGTCACATAGATGTTTGATAGCTTAAAATGTCAGGTGGTGTTCAAAGAGTTACTAGAGACACACTCAAAGACTGCAGCATGCTTAGTGTAACATGGACACTTTTTCTTTCAACAGCATAATTGGACAAGTATATTTTGGATCTTAGCTGAAGAGTATGAAAAGGTGTACCTGTACCTCTGTGAGGGGGACACTGGCCAGGGGGCTTCTGGTGAGCCATCTGACCCCAGCCCAGCCCCCCCAGGAGAGAAGTGTGCCCTGGGAAAGCAGTGTGCCCACCTTGACAGGGAGGTAGAGCAGGAGGAGCCCATGGCTGAGGACTGTGAAACTCAAATGGAGGTGTTGCCAGTAAGGTTCCTTCCAACACACACAACTCTGCCTTCCTCCATGTAGCTTTCCTCCTCCTCCGCACAGTGATTATTCAGCCCCATTGATTCCAGTCATGACAGAACCCTAGGCTTGAGGGGGGCAGAGTCATGTGCGTACTCAGGGGCAAAGTTATATGTGTGAGAGGTAGAGCCCTGCCCGGCTGAAAATTAGAGGGTATGCTGGTTGCTGGCCAAAATGGCAGGGTAAGCCCTGGAGGGTGCATATGATTTAGGAACCTTAGAGTTCCCCCTGGAGGAGGAGGGGGAACTATGTGGTTAAGGAAGATCCCCGGCTCTGGTAGAACTATGGATGCCTAAGGGAAAAGATATGAAGCAGTACCCATAGCCTTCCTGTCGCCTGAGGTAGGGCTCTCAACAACTGGCAGGGAGCAGCCAAGGAATAGAGACCCTTCCTCAGCTGCAGTACTGGAGGCAGAGATGACAGAAAGAACATCTGTGTTGTCTTCAGCAAGACCAGCCTTGGGCAATGATCTCAATCCATACAGCACCTGGACCCCAAGTATACCATATGTCCTGCCCCCACTGCAGGCACATTGGACCTCACATTTGTGGGCCTCCAGTTTCAGCGTGTCATAGTGCCCACTTCTGAGGAGAACTATGGACTCTTCCCTCTCCCCCGTGTAGACAAATTGGGGAACAGAACTGAGCAGGACCAAGGTTGGGCTAGTGTGTCTTACAAGCCCTGAAAAAAGCCATCTGCCATAATACCTGGTTTAAAAACCCTGCCCAAGATGTTATTAAACTGCATTGTTTGAAACACCTTGTATTGGGTCCATGAGATTGGAGGAGGGCCTCCCACCGATCCAGGTAGGGCTGGTGGGGCTCATAATCTCCAAACACAATATACCCTGAGACCTAGGATTTGCAATTAATTTATATGCCTAGGATTTGCTTCCAAACATGTCTTTATAAAGCATTCTTAAGAGATTCTCTTAAAGAGTCATAAAAGGCACTGAGTACATTATTCTTCAGTGACTAAGCATAAACATACTCAAATCAATTAAAAACTCAATCTCTACTGCTTCAAGCATGCAAAACCTTCTTGAAACCAAAAATACCTTGGCATCCCAGTCTTTATTAAGATAATATATACATGTGACACATCTTCCGTCTCCATTTGGATTATCAACATGACGAACATATCCTGTTCCATTGCCTGGATAGCAAGCCACCATTGCCTGCAATTAAAAAAACATGAACAAAAAGTGAGTTTTCCTTCCATCTCCGAGTGTAAATTTCTAAACTCTCAATTATCTCAGTTTGGATTCAAGGGATTTACTTATTCCATTTCTCTTTAGTACCCATACTCAAGAAGAAAAATGTCGAACTTATATGACTAAGAAATCCAGAACTTATTTTAGAATAGTTACATAATAAAACAGCAAGCAACACTGTAAAGTTCAATCTGAACAAAAACATTTAATAAACATCCAAGCAAATAAATGGTTTGTGACAACTTCATAAAGATATTAAAGATGTGCTGGGGGGGCTCCCTCTAGATCTATATTCTAAAAATACAGACTTTTTCAGAGTCAACACAGCTGTCAGATTGCTCTATTTCCACAAATCTTGCAATAGGAAGCATTATTTTCGGCATTGACAACTGTGATATAAGAAAAAGACAAACATCTGTCTGAAGTAGTAAAGAAAGGCTTTTTGAGATCACTGTCCTCCAAAACATTATTACATTTGAAGCATATTGTGACATGTGCATGCTCTTATTTTACTGGATGAAGCTATCTTGTCTACCAAGCACCAATCTGAACTCACAGCTTTTCTTTTCAGATATTATTTCCAATATAGAAACCCCTCTCTTATTCTGACACTTTCCACACATAGGAGAAACTGTTGACCAACTGTTCTACAGAAGTCAAAATCAAATTCTCAAGTCATTTACTAAATCAGCAATCAGCAAAAACAGAAAACCATCCATCACTGTTTGCCAGATTCCCTTATTTATCTAAAATTACTTTTAGGTCATCAAACTGATAGAAGCAACAGCACAACAATAAAATAATGGAAATCAACAAAAGCAATGGCCTAAATACAACTTCACCTATAACCTAACCCTAAGTATGGCAGGACTTTCCTTACTTCCCTTCTTAATCATTTTCTTCACCCACTTGAAAGTCTGCTCCAGAAGATTTTCCAGCCCTTCAGAAGGGGCTCTGAGGGTACAGGAAGACTGCAAGGGTGATTGCCCCCTTTTGTTTCTATAGGATTCTCTTTCAAAAAATGTCAGCAATAAAAACAACAAAAACTTAGTCCAAATAAATACAATTACAAGTAAAGCTGTCCACCTAAAATACAATTCAGGGATGAAAACTATCAGGTCTTAACAGCTACAGTATCTGAAATCTGATGTATCCTAAACAATAAATAAAACATGTCTAGTTCTTTTCCTGAACACTGATTTTGTGTGCCTTCTCTTCCTAGTGCTTTTTAGTTTTCAGGGGGTGGGAGACAAAGTCGTTAAGTATTATGTCTTTATGTATTCTGGATCAATCTAGTTGGGGCAAAAAACAAAAGGAACTTGGTAGCTGGAGTTTACTACCGACCACCCGATCAAAGAGAGGGAGCGAACAAAACTTTTGAAAAACAAACGGCAGGGTTTTCAAAGAGACACAATATTGTAGTGATAGGAGATTTCAATTATCCAAATATATGTTGAGATGCAAATTATGCCAAGTATAGCCCATCCAACAAATTTCACAACTTGGGGTTCAATCCCAGGTAGCCGGCTCAAGGTTGACTCAGCCTTCTATCTTTCCAAGGTCAGTAAAATGAGTACCTACCTCGCTGGGGCGGGGGGCAATGTGTAGCCTGCATAAATAACTTGTAAACCGCCCAGAGTGCTTGAAGCACTATGGGGCGGTATATAAGCAGCACACTTTGATTTGCTTTGTGTGGCTGATAATTTTCTCCTACAAAAAATGGAGAAAGAAACTAGAGGATTTGCTATCCTTGACTTGATTCTGACCAATAGAGATGACTTGGTGGGTGAAGTGACAATAAGGGGAACTCTAGGCGAGAGTGACCATGCCCTTGATTTCAAAGGAAACTAAAGGCAGAGTGTTGCCACATACTTCTGCTGGATTTTTTAAAATCCAATTTTTATAATCTCAGAACAAGCATAAGTGAGGTCCCATGGCAGGAGGTCCTAACAAGAAAGTGAGTCCAATAAGGGTGGGAGCTTCTAAAACAAGAAATTCTAAAGGCACAACTCAAAACAATTCCAACAAGAAAAAAAGGTAGCAAGTGGCAAAAAAGGCCAGTATGGCTTCACAAAAAGCTCAGAGATGACTTGAAAACAAACAAAAAAGACGTGTACAGGAAGTGGAAAGAAGGCCGGGCCACCAAGGACAAGTACAGACAATTAGAAAGGAAATGCAGAGATGGTTTTCTGTTCACCCCCCATATCCGATGGGTCTTGCAGGGTTTGTTTGTTTTTTGGAGGTCCCCCCCCATTTCTGATGGGTCTTGTAGGGTCCGTTTGCTTTTTGCTTTGCTTTTTTTTGGTATTTCCAATGGGTCTTGCAGTGTATGTTTGCGTTTTGCTGGGTTTTTTTTGAAATTCCGAAGGGTCTTGCACAGTTTGTTTGCTTTTCCCCCGCCTTCGGCTGGAACCGATTAATCGTGTTTCCGATGGGTCTTGCAGTGCTGTGGGGGTTTTTTGGTGATTTTTTTTCTTCAGCTGGAACGGATTAATTGCCTTTCAATGCATTCCTACAAGAAAGGGTGCTTCAACTTATAACCCTTTTGAGTTACGACTGGATTTCTGGAACCAATACATTCGTAAGTCAAGGCACCACTGTATTCTGGAGTATTCTTAAAAACAAGTGTATTTCAAGCAATGTTCCCCCTAATTTTCTACCAGCACTGAGTGGAAACCCTGTCTCATACATGCAAAGTTTCACCTGCGACCACAAACAAATGAGTGGCAACAGTAACTGCTGGTGCGTGGCACCAATACAGCACTGTGCAGCCATGTACAGTGGACCCTTGACTTACAGACGGCTTGACTTACAGACTTCTTGAGTTGCAGACTGCTCTGGCCGCAAAATTTAGATTTGACTTGCAGCCTGAGAATTAACTTACAGACCAGAAAAAAACCAAAATGGAACAAAAACGGCCTGTTACGGGATTAATTGGTTTTCAATGCACTGTAGGTCAATGGAGACTTGACCTACAGACTTTTTGACTTGAGAACCGCCTTCCAATACGGATTAAGTTCTCAAGTCAAGACCCCACTGTACCCACACAGCTTAGAGGGAATGCTAATTTCAAGCCAGGCCACTTGCTTTAACAAATTACCTAATGAATTTCAAAACTTTTGAAATGGCTACCAGGAAACTGTTACAAACACATAAACAAATACATAGAGATATACATTTCATACAGAAAGATCCCTTATCGCAACCATTGCATCTCTGTAAAGTAATGGAGTCATACTAACTGCAATTCTCAATATGTCTGGGGGGTTATTAAAACCTCAGCACTTCATACGAACAGTGGTACACTTTCACACACATACAAAAAAAACACAACTTTTGGCCATGTAAGATATTGTTATTGCCTTTACAACCACTGCTTTTTGAACAGTTTTTATCCTAGAGCTATAATTGAACTTAACAAGGAACATAAGAATCACCAGCAGTGAGTTGTTGGACTGTACGTATTACTATTACTTGGTCTGTTGTGCTGTATGTTATGTGGATACTATATGATATTAGGCAGGGTTCTGGGTTTTAGGATTGTTATGAGGGTGTGTGTGTTTTGATCTGTTCTCTGAGTGTTCTTTCAGTTTCGCTGTATGTGTATACGGTGTGTATACGTTCAATGTCAATAAATTATTATTGTTGTTGTTGTATTAGTATTAGTATTAGTATTAGTATTAGTAGTAGTAGTAGTAGTAGTAGTACTATTTAAAAAATCAGAACAAAAACAACCAAGAACAGTTTCAGATGAAGAATATGTGTCCCATGCCAAGCTGTTATCCTGTAGACTTTCCACAGCCAGATACTGAGCTATGTTATCAAACGAGATTTATTGAAGTTGGGGAAGGATACAAATAAACAAGAACAAGCTATAAACACCACTAACTATTGACTCATGGCTGCCTTGACCATCCTCTGGGGAAGGGTCAGGCTGCACTTGAAGGATGCCTTGGTGTGCGAGGCAGGGAGTCCCACAGCATGGATAATATATGGCCAGGCTGAGCCCTCTCTGGACCATAGTCTCCCAATGTCCTTCTTCTTTGGAAGTTAGAGGTACGTGCCATGGCAGTGGGTGTGGAATGTGGTCTCTTCAAGCATCAGGGTAGGCACTCTAGTCTACATGACCTTTGATGTAAAGCCTGTCTTCTTTCCCAGCTGATCTAGGTTCCTGCAACATATCTTCCACTACTCACGTTCTCCCCAAAAGGAAAGTTTCTTGGGGGTTTGGGATTTCATCCTCGTCTGGGGGGACACACATAGCTGGACAATCTCTCCTGTCCAAGAGTTCTCCCCCTCACTGAGTTCCCAGACATCAGGGGGATCTGCCTCCATTTTGTCCCCTGCCTCTGCCTGGCACGTTTCCCATTATGGCTCCTCTTGCACCTGCTGCCAATGATCTTTCAACACTCCCTCCTTCTCCCATTTATCTTCTTCCACTAGGGGTACCCCTGCTCTCTCCAGAATGTTCTTCCCAAGCCTTCTCTCTTCTGTCTTCTGAAGATGCTGGCCACAGAGACTGGCGAAACGTTAGGAAGAACAACCTTCAGAACACGGCCAAAGAGCCCGAAAAACCCACAATAACCTTTTCTCTTCTCTTCTATCATTCCACAGCTCCTCATCAGCTCCTCCCCAGTCCACTGATGAGTTGCATGTTGGGAAGTCCTTCTAAGGTGTGGAGAGATGACATGGCCTGCTGGTGTTGACAGGAAAATTTGGCATGTCCCTTTCCATCCTCACAGTGTAATAAGCAACAAGAAATTAACCTTGAGAATGCACCCAGTACAATACTGTACTATGTATTATCAATTCTACTATATCACATGGACTCTTGTACTTTAATACAGGCCACTATTAAAAAAGAAAAAAAGAACCACTTGAAATGTAGATTTAGAGGGTGATCAACAAAGAAGTATAAAAACAAATGAATAAAGATAAGAAATCCTGTAGCATGAGAAGGAGGA